CAAAGGCTGTGATCCCAAGAAGCGTACACCTGGAGACCAGCTGCAGGGAAGTAAAATCTTATTTAAACAAATAAATGAGAGCAAGAGTGAATATGAATCTCTCCATTTATTCATCATTTGGAAACTTTAGGCTTTTCAGAGACACTGTTTAGACTGGACCAACCGAAAACACGATTTCATTCAAATTGCCAGAATAATATGACTTCCCTGATGGTGTACTGAAGCCTACCTCTAAGGCCATGTGTTACCAGGGTAGGAAAAAGAAAGAAAGCAAAGACTCTAGGGACTGGGGATAACTTCTAGGCCCTTCCACAAAACATGGGGCTGTCCAAATGGCAGACACAGTCCATAGCTTGCCAACACTTTTGTAGCACAGCCTTAGCTTGTGTGCCAGCTCAGCTGCTTGCAATATGAGTGAGTCGGAGGGCTTTGTTCTCAGACCAATTTTTATGTCCTTTTTGGTGAATAAAGGAACGTCACGGCTCAGAAGGGAAGGGTGTCTCCCAGAAGAAAGCTTGCTTTCTAATCAAGCAACCTGGGGAAGAACCAAGCATGCCAAGGTGTCACAAACAATTTCCAAACTCTCCGAACACTTACCTAGAAGTTGGGTGGATTATTGTAGGTAGTATTTCAGGAGCACAGGAAAAAATAAGAATCAATTCCTGACCTGGAAGACTATAAGGCACTCAGATATGGTGTTTCTTAGATTCATCAGCACCCCTTCTTCCCCCTCCAGCCCCATGCCTTAAACCTGCAGAGGCCAGGAGGCACTCAGGAATGGGGTTGTCCAGTCGCCTGCACAGCACAAGCTGGGGTAACTGATGCACTACAGAATGACCCCTTAGGCAGGGCTTGAAGCTGGGGACTTTGTCCATGGCGCCTCTAAAATAGAAGGCTTGTAATCATCTAAGGGGTGAGTCATGTAGGAGCAGTAGACCGAACCCTGAATGGTGTTTTATCCAGCATTTTCCTTTAGCGGAGATGAGAGCAAATCTATAAGCCAAGCAGCATAGCCAGGGCCGTCAGACTTAGCTTATCTAATATAGGTCCAAAATAAGTCAATGCCTACAGAGGAACGGAGATCACATAACTCAAACCTCTGTTTCATAGCACAGAGAATCCAGCTTATAATAATCATACAGTTCTCTTTCTCCCCCTTGTATTTGGTTTTTTAAAAGGTCTTTTGCATGTTGATGATGATTCTCTATGCATTAGCTTTTTCTAAAGAGCTAGAGATTTGGCTCAGCAGTTAAAAGCACTGGATGCTGTTTCAGAGGACCTGAGTTTGATTCCCAGCATCCATATGGTTGCTCACAATGATCTGTAATTACAGTTCCAAGACATTTGATACCCTCTTCTAGCCTCCACTGGCACAAGGTACACATGCAGTGCACAGATATATATGCAGGCAAAGCATTCATACATATACAATAAAAATAAAAAAATAAATAAATAAAACTGGGACTCCTTGGTAACCTTCCTCCCATCGTGTGTGTGTGTGTGTGTGTGTGTGTGTGTGTGTGTGTGTGTGTGATGAGACAAGATCTTACTATATATAGCCTTGGCTGTCCTGGAACTTGCTATGTAGGCTGGCTTCAAACTCATGGAGTTCCTCCTGCTTCTGCCTCCTGAGTGTTGGGATTAAAACTATGTATCACTGTTGTAGAATATTAGCTTAAAATGTGTTACATTCATTTTGGAATATTTGTTTAATGATGCGAAGATGTGTTGCTTTCTTTTATGTTGCCTTTATTTAATTCTGTAAAGCTTTGTTACTTTGCCTGCCTAAAACAAGTGATTGGTCTAATAAAGAGCTGAACAGCCAATAGCTATACAGGAGAAAGAATAGGCAGGGCTGGCAGGCAGAGAGAATAAATAGGAGGTGAAATCTAGAGAAGAGCAGAGGAGGAGTGAGAAAAGGAGGCAGGGGCCAGGGGCCTGCCACCCAGCCACACAGCCAGCCATGGAATAAAATGGAAAAAAAGATATATAGAATAAAGGTAAAAGCCCAGAGGCAAAATGTAGTTAAAGAGAAACAGGATAATTTAAGTTAGAAAGGTTGGCTAGAAACAAGCCAAGCTAAGGCCAGGTATTCATAAGTAAGAATAAATCTCAGTGTATTTATTTGGGAACTGGGTGGTGGGCCCCCAAAGAGTTAAAAAAAATTAAAAAGCCAACTACATACCACCATGCCTAGCTAGTTTTATATTTTTTACTATGTTGCTTATTTTATATGTTGCAAATATCTTCTCCAAACTATCCACTGCACATGGAGTTTCAAGATGTTAACAGTACCCCCTGAAATTATGGCACCTCCCAAAGGCAAAAGAGAATGACTTAGACAGGTGTAAGATCTACAAACATCAACAAAACCAGAGATCAATCATAACCATATACCTTTGACACTTGAGGAGAACTTCAGGTTTGTTTAAGCACCCTTCAATCACCTAGCTTCAGCCCCACAAAAACCAACAAAAATAATGGGTCTCATTTCCTCACTTGTAGGGTTAAAAAGATCAGTCGGTGGTTAGTCAAGATCAACTTTGTGATTCAAGCCTGAACTGTTACCCCAGCTTTATAGCTGACACAATTCGGGCCCACCCACAGAAGCAAAGAAACTTTTTATCATCACAGCCCTTCTTAATAGTAGACAAGGAGCCAAGTGTAGTGACACATGCCTTTGACCCCAGCACTTGGGAGGCAGAGGCAGGTGAATCTCTGTGAGTTTGAGGCCAGCCTGGTCTATATATTGAGTTCCGGGACAGCCAGGGCTACATAGTGAGGCACGAATTCTAATTGGTTTTAATAATAAATAAAAACTCACAGTCAGCTATTGGGTTGAAAGCTGAAGGATCAGAGAAGCAGAGCGGCAGTCACTAGAGCTCTTACTTCCACCAACGCTCAGACCGAAGGGGCGGTCCTGTCCTTAGACTGCCATTCAGACTGCATCCTCAGTCTATTCCTCAACATGCACTGAGCTCATGTCTCTTCCTGCCTTATATTCCTCTCTCTACCCAGCCATATCACTCCTGTCTCCACCTCCCTAGCGCTGGAATTAGAGAAATGTGATCCCATGTGCAAGGATCACCTTTGTGTGAGCTCTGTCTCTCTTTTAGAGAAAAATTTTAGATCAATTTTGTGTAGCCCAGGATGGCCTTGAACTAACAGAGACCCGTTTGCTTCTGTCTCCCAAGTGCTGGGATTAAGTGTGTGCCACCACTGCCTGGCCTCTGTGACTAACTAGTGTGGCTAGCTCTGCACTCTGATCTTCAGGCAAGCTTTATTTGTTAGATCATAAACAAAATGTCATCGCAGCCCTATCTTGAAAAAAAGAAAGTGAACAAGGACCCAAAATGATAGTCATCAGGTCTCCACAACAGGGAGTGACCCTACTCTGCTTTCACAGGATGAAGCCCATCTTGCATTTGTGTCCTTGAAAATAAGACACAAGGACAAACTTCATTCAACCACTTTTATTGGGCAATAATGGTGAAGGAACTCTATTCTACACTAAAAGATAAATTGGATGGAGCTCCTATTGGGCTTTATTGTTAGAGGCAAAACTCTTACAAAGATAAAAGAGGCAGAATCCAATGCCCTTTTGAAGTGATTGTTATTAGTATTACATGCAGAATCGTGGATTTGTTTAGAACTTGTATATAACTGAAAGAAGGTGGCTTTTCTTGGTATAGAATGACTAGTGGAAAATTCTCTAGTTTTGCCTGTTGTATGTGGGGGGGTTATCAGTATTCTTAAGATATAGAATGTTGCCAGGTGGCGGTGGCGCGTGCCTTTAATCTTAGCACTCAGGAAGCAGAGGCAGGCAGATCTCTGTGAGTTCGAGATCAGCCTGGTCTAAAGAGCAAGTCTCAGGACAGGCTCCAAAGCTACACAAAAAAGAAACCCTATCTTGAAACCTCCCCCCCCCACACAAAAAAGATATAAATGTTAATCAGGAAAATTCAGTCCGAATGCAAGACTTAATCCACAATGTAGGGCTCATTTTTATTACTATAGGAAGGGATTGTGCCCACTTTCTTTTTCTGCCTTGGCTGATGAATCTCATTCTCATCTGATTCAAGTCTTGCACCAATAGCTTATGCATGATAGACATTCCAGAAGCAAGAAAAATAAATTCATGGGTGTTAGGGTGCTGCAGCTCAGTTTTACTAATTTTGCAGCTTCAAGGAATTACCTTTAAAGGGTGGGTGAAGACTCCATTTGGCAAATAGAGAAACAAATGAAAAACAATCCTGAAAGAGTCTTCAAACAGCGAGGCATGGTAGTGTACACCTTTAATCACAGCACTCAGGGGTCAGAGGCAGGTAGATTTCTATGAGTTCAAGGCCAGCCTGATCTATATAAAGCAAGTTTCAGGGCAGCCAGAGTCACATGGTGAGACCCTGTCTCAAAAAGTGTTCTAACAGCCCTTTACATTGGAAATGACTATCCATGGGAATACATGCTTTCAAATTACCTATTGTTTATATTGTTTACGTGGCTCATTATAAATCTTGTTACAGCATATATATATGTATAGAGACATATATATACATACATGTGTGTATATATATTCTAAAGGTTTTCCAACAAACTTCTAAATCTTTTAAAAAGATTTTTATTACTAATTATGTATACTTCTCTATCTGTGTGTGTCTGTGTGTGCATATGTATGTGTATATACATATATATGTGTGAACACTTGAGGAGGCCAGAAGAGGGTATCGGATCCCCTGGAGCTGAAGTAATAGACCATTGTAAGCTGCCTGGTGTGGGTGCTGGGAACTGAACTCTGGTCCTGAGCTATCTCTCTAGACCTAACATAAACTTTTTAAAAAGAATTGAGTCCTATGAAACACTGCTAGATGTCAGGGTACAAAGGCTGAACCTTCCCTCTCTGATCTGTAAGCCCCTGAGAGATATACCTGGGTGCAGGGAGACCTTGGAAAGTGCCAGCTGCACCCCAGAAAGACTGTCCGAGTTGCAAAATGCCAGCAGAATGGTCATTCCAGGTCACTGGGTCAGGTGCTTAGAACCTGATGCTTCTGCGGCATGGCACCCAGATATAGGAAAATCAACATCAGTGTCCTGAGTTCCCAGCATTCCCTGTGCACCTTGAACTGCCTGTCTTGGGTGCCTTAGAGGGAAGCAGTGACAAGAGGAAAGCTGAAGAACTGAGCCCAGCCTAGAATGACAGCATTAGTTCCAGAAGACTAGCAACATCCACAACTGTGACGTCAGACACAGGCCACCTGGTGCTTCAGAGATCTTCCCCGGGGTTCAGAGGAAGACGTCCAAAGGACAGCCAAAAAGAACACAGCGCAGCAGCGTCAATCTATCTATAGCAACGACAGTGTTTCAGAGAACCAGGCAGAACTCCTTAGGGCCCAAGGCTAGGCACAGCAAGGCGATAGCCAGGCAAGTCACCAGCCTATCCAGCCCCTGCTTTGCAGCTCAGTTATAGGAAAGGTAGTCGATGAGCCGCGGAGGGATGTTTAGCTTGGCGACTTTCTCTAGCCCTCGAACACCAGTGGCCTTCCTCAAGCTCACCCTGCAGAGCTGTGAGAGTGTAAGAGGTGTCTCTGGAAAGAAAAAAAAAAGACAAGGAAATGTAAGAGGATAATTTCTAGAAGAAGTACATCCTGTGGGTTAATGGGTGCTAAGGCTCAACTGGAAGAGCCTCCCTTCCCCCTAGAATTAGGATGGATCATATGTCATCCCTGGAAAGTCGGAGAGCCAGGGACCAGAGAATGAAGTCAGGCAACAAGACTCAGGTGGTGTCCACAGGGATTCATCCTGTGGGGTTGGGTCTTTCGAGACAGGCGTCTTTTGTTTTGTTGGAGGGAATTGTTGCTTTGTTTTTGACACTATTTAGCAAATAGATTTATCAGCAAAGAACTAATGTGTGGCTAAGAGGCTCATTTGTCATACATTCAGCCAAACGAGACACGACTGAAGGGTTTACGCAAGGAAAGGTGCTCGCAGCCTGCTCATGTTACTGTAGGCTTCTTTCCTCAGTGGGGCCACAGGCCAAGGAATACAGCAAGAGCTGGTGCTTCAGTACAAAACCGTCCCCAGAGATGGAAGTATTCCCAGTACATCCTAGTGGCCAAGGACAGGAGCTCAGGACTCAACTCAAAGCGGTCAGCATAAATTCAAGGAGAAATAGCAGACTGGGGACCCAAGGTGATTGGTGGGGGTTCCTGGCAACCGGGGTGTACTAACTGGTTTTGTGTCAACTTGTCACAAGTTAGAAACTTGTCACAGAGAGAAAGGAGCCTCAGTTGAGGAAATGCCTGCATGTGATCCAGCTGTAAGGCATTTTCTCAATTACTAGGCAGTGAGGGAAGGCTAAGCCTATGGCAGGTGGGGGCCATCCCTAAGCTGGTGGCCTTGACTTCTACAAGAAAGTAGGGTGAGCAAACCGGGGGAAGCAAACCAGTAAGCAGTTCCCCTCCATGACCTCTGCATCAGCTTCTGCCTCTAAGACCTCTAAGGAACCCTGTCTGAGTTCCTGTCCTGACTTGCGTTGAGGATGAACAATATGGAAATGTAAGCCAAATAAAGCTTTTTCTCCCCAGCTTGCTATCTGGTTACGGTGTTCCAACGCAGCAACAGAAACCCTAACTGAGACACTGGGATACGGGGACATTTGCACAACAGAGCCCGGCTCACTTTCATAGTACTCAAAGCACTTGGCCGGGGCGCTGCTGCTCCAGGTGTAGTCCGAGGGCTTCTTCCCCCGGTTGTCCCGGGCGTAGATGTTGCCTCCAAACTCTATGAGCATCTCAATGAGGTCGACATTCTTTACTTTGGCTGCATGGTGAAGGGCGGTCTCATGAAGTTTCGCTGCATTCACATTGGCCCCTGGTGGGGGGGGTGGGGGGAGGGGCAGAGCAGAGAATGTCTGTCACCAAAGGGAGGACGCAGAACCAAGAAGAAAACTGAGCTACAAATCATCCTTTGGCAGAGCACAAAAGCAATCCCCGCGCAGAAAACAAAATCAAGATGCACTCTTCTGTGCCTTCTCAAAATCCAAGAAGAATACTTATCTTTCCTTATGAAAGTAAGGGCAGCAAATATATATATACATTTATATATATATATATATATATATGATATATATATCAAAATAAAAGGTTTCTATGTGTCAAATGTCTGTTCTGAGGTGCCCTGCAGTCTGTCCTCATAGGTCCCTAGATTTCTAAGGATCATCCTGTGTCGCCCGAATGTGGCAGCCTTATACTTGGACACAGACACGTCACGTGACACAGCTGCCCTACCACAGGAAACAGATTATGTGTTTGGAGGTCAGCTGTGAACTCAGCTCCACCCTCCTTATCCTTCTGGGGGCATACAGAAAGATTCAAAGAATTAGTCACTAAATACATCATTTTAAAATGCACTACAAAAATAAAGACTTAGCCTGGCCAGAAGGCTCGGCACAAGCCTGGTGAACTGAACCCAATTCCCCAGAAGCCACAAAAAGAGAAGGAAAGAACCAACTCCATGAAACTCTCCTCTGATAACACAAATGCACCAAGGCATGCACACCTGAGCTTACATGCTTACAATCACAATAAATAAAAGTTTAAGATAAATGTTTAAAAGTTAAAAATTACGATTCCAAAGTGGTCTCTGTGAAACGGCCCTCTTGATCCACGGTATTATATAATGGATTTTCTAAGGCCTCAGAATTTGTTTGAAAGAAGAAGTTAACCAGTAAAGAATAATAGCTAACAATTAATCGAAAAAGTTTAAAATATTTCAGAGAAACTAAGCAAATTTCTTAGCGTCAATAAATTCCCTAAATTATAGTTTCAGACCACAATTGTAAATTCATAGCTATGCCAGCAACAAGCCATTGGTTAGTGCTGTTTCTACTTGAAACATTACTGAAAAAGCCCTGCTTTCTTCTTTAAAATCTGTTTAATCATCTGGAATTAAGGACTGTATTTATCACAATGGCCATGGTGTGATCCTGAGAGTACTCTTTCCATTCCTCCTCGCAAAGTTCAGAAAGCTAAGGTCAGGAGGGACTGACTGCTGACTCCTCAAAGGAGAAGGCTTGAGTCACACATTTAAATTACAAACGGTATGAAATTTTGTAATTGCCCCACAAACCAATCACTCTCTTACCTCAGATGGTTTTCTTTCAACATTTCCTTATAGGAGTAAATAATTTTTAGACTGTTGTAACCATTGTGCAAAAATAAATTTTAATGCTAGATACACAATTTGTAAAGATCACAGAGTCTAAAGTCCAAGTGGCTTTCTCTTATTGATTCTTGCAATATTCTTGCCAACCAGGAAGGAATGTGATTATCTCAATTTTAACAATGGAGAAAAAGACATCAGGAAGCAAAATGCCCTCAAGGTCGGAGAGAAAGGGGAAGCAGGAAAGATCTGGAACAGACACCCTCCTTCCTTGCTGTTAGCTACCTTGGCTCCTGAGATAAGGCCTTGGACCCTGAGTGACTCTTTCAAAGTGGCCTTCCCAAAGTAAACAATAAGATTTTTCCATAATGTGTATTATTTGATTGGGTCGAAAGGAAAGAGGGTGAAAGAAGGAAGCCAGCCGACGGGAAACATCAGACCAAGCGTGTGCACAGCAATCTGTATGGGCTCAAGTGAGTGCTCAGTGAAAGCAGAAACAGTGAGAGACGACCAACACCGGCAGATGTTTGCTAGAAAGCTGGAACAAAAGGAGAGGGAGGGAAGAATGTCATAGGGAGGGCCTTGGTGGCACAATGAGCATGTCATAGCATTTCATGTCTTGGCCATGAGGGGGGGGAGGTAAAGCGCCTTCTAGGCCCTAAGAACTGTCAATTTCATGCTTTGGCGAAAGGGGTCAAAGCTGGCTCCCAACAAAATCCTAACTTCAAAAACAACTAAGGAGTAAAGTGAGGGCTTTACTCCTTGCACACACACAGCAGCGAACAGCCCCAGCCCCAGACAGCAGCACAAATGACTCATCACACAGTAAGACGGCTCTGCCAAGGAGACGGAAGCGCAAATAATCCTTAACTACCCACTTCTGGGCGCTTCCATTAGAGTTAAATATTTACTGTTAGTGATCAGATGAAACGTTACCTAACCGTAATAACTGGACTCTGACCCTCACCAGTTGTCGCCCTCTGCAAACAGAACCTGGTTCCTTAACTCAGCCTCTCGAGAAAAGGCGCAACTGTCTCTTCGTCCACTGCGGAGTACAGTGTGAGCACTCCACACATGGCTCAGCTCCTCCACAGGAGTCAGGACCTTGGCCGTCAGGGCAGAGGCACCTACTGCATGTTTTCTGGAGATGCGGAATGGGGCTCTCCTTAGGTCCACAACAGGCCTATGGCTCGGCCTCCGCAGTATAGAAATGCATTGGTTTTGTAAGACTCCATGTGTGAGTACCTAGGACTATGCTACCTCACTCTGCTTCTATGAGGGTTGGAAATACTTCACAAGGAGAAAGCAGACCAAAGGGAAAAAAATGTAAAAAAACAATTCTGTTGAGGGAGCCCACGAGAAATTAAAGTGGTATCTGGTCTACCTCTTCCTGGCTCCTGTCATCTTCAGTTCCTGTTTGGATCAAGGCTCGGGACCCTCTTTTCTGCTTTCCTGGTACATTCTGCCCCAGACTGCATCTTTCCTTAATGCTTAACTGCCTCCATGGCAAAGGAGATGCCCCCTATCCCAAATTCTACTCATCCTCGATGTATAGAAATTTCCCCTTAAAAAAGTGTTAGGAGTTGGGGTGGGGTGAGCAGACAGACCTCCCCTCAACTCCAGGGTGGGCTCTGACTGCTCCAATCCCTTTCCTCTGTCATAGTAATTGGTTCAAGTCACCCAGTTCAAAGCTGACAACGCTGGACTGCAGGGATCAGGTTTGGACACCAGACCTTGTGTAAGCCATGAAGCATTAGGGGTGGTAAGCCAGTGACACCAGAAAAGGAGAAGCTCCACTCTTCTGAAAAAAACTACAAGAGAGCCTCAGTATATAAAGTGCTGAAGGGCTGAGAGACGCTATTCTCACCACTGCCTGGAAATCCAGCTCCAGGGATTTGAAAGCTTCTTCTGGGCTTTCCAAGCACCCACCCCGCGCTCTCTCCCTCTCTCTCTCTCTCTCTCTCTCTCTCTCTCTCTCTCACACACACACACACACACACACACACAGCTTGTATCAGTTGCATCCATTTATCTGCTATCATAGCAGCCAGCTAACGCTAAGAAAAGCAGATTTCGAAATTCAAAGGCAGAGTGACACTCTGGAACCACGAGCTTAGAATGACTATACTTCTGCTACACTTCTCAAGTTTTGTCACATGAATCAAGGAATGACTTCATTGTTCACCCAGCTGTAATTGGCTTCTTCACTCCAGCGGCCATCCAGGTACTGTTGGGTTCTGTTTTCATGGAGTCAACTAGCCAAAGATTTACGTATTCCAAAAGATAAAAAAAAGATTTCACCTATCCCAAACACGTGCAGACCCTCTGTTCACTTCGTGGGTCTCTCTGCAGGGAGTCTTTTTCAAACACCCGCCACGAGCCAGATTATACACGCTCCGTTCTCCTATCTGCTGCCAAAGCCATTTCCCAGTACACCTCTTACTCGGATTCAGAGAGCAAACCTCATCAGGCAGACATGATGAGCGCTACCTATGTTTGCTAAAAATAACCATCCATGGATCTGAGATGGCTCCTCAAGTAGGACCATTTGCTGTACAAACAAGAGGGCCTGAGTTCACATCTCCAGGACCCACATAGAAACCATGGCTCTGTGGACCGTAACCATGTTCTGTGAGGGGTAGAGAGAGGAGGATCACTGAGGTTTGCTGGTTGCCAGCCTAGCTCACAGTTCAGTGAGAGAGCCTGTCTGAAGGGAATAAAGCAGAGCAGAGAGTGGTAAAGCAGGACACCTTACATCCCCCCCGGTACGTGTACAATATACACACACATGTACATACACACACACGCATGCACATACGCACAAATAAATAATATAGTCACATGCATTTGCTAAGTGTTGACTGTACACCAGGCATTATAGAAACATTATTGAAAATATTCCCAACACCTGGGAAAATAGGTGCTATTTTTCTAGTCTTGTAGATACAGAGGCTAAGGCACTCGTTCTCTCTGAGTGATGGGAGAATCGATTTCAAACCGTTTTCTGTCTGCTTCCACTACCCAGACCTCTGCTAGCGCAGCGCAGGTAACCCATCCACTCGGGTAAATACCAGCTCAGTAAGCAGCAGCATACCTGCATTGAGCAACACTTTGACACAGTCCAAATGCTCTCGTGCACAGGCAACATGGAGAGGGGTCCCGAAATGGCAATCGTGAGCTTCCAGGTTGGCCCCAACATCAATAAGAAGCCTCACACATTCAGAACTCCCTGAAAACAAAAGGGGAGAGATGGAGATGTTCATGAATATGTATACCGGAAATGGTAACCATAACAAGCAGCAGCTGAAACGGTGGCGCTGCCACAAACAGAGGGTAAGCAGCCTATATCTCAACATACAAAGCGGCTGGCACCTCGGCAAGGCCCTAGAAGAATACAAAGACATCTCCTCTGTCCCCCTCAGGAGTTCTTAGCGCACTTGGTAGTAAAAGGAAAGGGTCACAGCCACCTCCCTGCTGAGGACAGAAGATGTGGGAAACCACTTGGACACAGGGATCAGAAACCATCCGGATCCTCATCTCCAAGTTTTCCAGCACCATGTCTGGAGAGCATCCAGGTTACAGAAAGCGCACGTAGCTGCTGCATCCCGCCAGTCTCTGGGAAGAAGGAACCTTTCTCTGACTTTCTCACTTTGCAAGTTGCCCTCTCAGGCACTTCCTTGTCTTCAGAAAAGGTTTGGATTGGGATTCCCCCCCCCCACTTCCCTCCTTTCCAGGAAGATTCTGCTACAGACTCCATCTTCCCTGTTTTTCTTTTCTTTCTTTCTTCCTTTCCTTCTTTCTTTCTCTTTCTTTCTTTCTTTCTTTCGTGTTGTTGTTCTTTGTGTTTTTGGTTTTTGTTGTTGTTCTTCTGAGGCAGGGTTTCTCTGTGTAATAGTTCTGACTGTCTTGGAACTCACTCTGTAGACCAGGCTGGTCTTGAACTCAGAGATCTACCTGCCTCTGCCTCAGAGTGCTAGGATTAAAGGCGTGTGCCACCACCGCCAATCCTCCATCTTCTCCTATCACTTAATTACCACCTCATTGTTGATAGCTCTCTAGTAACCATCCCCATCCCTAAAACTTAACCCCACACCCACTGCTGACCAACCTCATTAACATCACAACTACCACATAGTCCTCTTTCCCAAAGATCCCTCCCTGCTCCTGGATAAATTCTTTCCAGTCAGTTCCATTGCTCCCAGCTGATTCTGAGTCACTTTTTACCTCATTTTTGTACCTTTCCCTCAGACCAAATCCTAGTCGATACTGGGTGGGCAAGGAGTTAGATGCAAGGAAACCAAGGGAACCTGTAGCCGTATCTTAGCAACTATGTCTCCTGATGGTCAAATAGACATTGTGGATAGTTATCATTGAAGCTTCAGTTAGGTTAGTCCCAGTGGATCAGAGACTAAGGCACCAAGGCCTTTCCCGACATATGCATGTTGCTGAAGGGTCCACATCCCCAAATAACCTGACATTATAATATCACTGGCATTGAGGGTTTTGACACACACCTCTCCTTTGATGGGTTTTGTTTTCTTAGAAGAAATACCCTAAAATGGAAAGTCTGATCCACCATAATTTCGGAGAAGAATATGCATCCTACCTCACAAATATTCATAAAAACTTCTTTATGATCCACAACTCAGAATTCTCTGGGCTGCACACACCATGGGATGGCACATTCCAATCTTTCTGTGGAGTCTTTGTTTTGCCTAGCTTTGATTTAGAAAAACTTCTGCTTAAACCATGTCTCTCCTGACTGAATTCTTTCCTTCGAGAAGAACCGGGTCCCTCCCCCTCGGACACAGGCCACTCTCCTCCTCTGGGCTCTAAGTGCTTTACACTGGGCCATTCCAAGGGTCGCTGACACAGAGACTCACCACTCATGCAGGCCTCGTGCAGCGGGGACGCTGTGTACAAAGGAGGGTTGACCTTCGCCCCATAGGATAGCAGGAGCTTCACACACTCGATGCTGCCTGAGGCACAAGCGTCACAAAGAGGGGTGCTGCCATCAATGTTGCGCGCATCCACCTCCAACAACAGAGGAAACGAACGTCAAAGGGTGAGATAAATGAGCGGGATGACGCTTGTGATCTTTATGCAGATCCATGTTTAGAAAGACTGTGTCTTAAAATTACCAGTTTGCTGGTATGCATCAAGCCAGGCGAGGGAGTTCAAAGAGAAAGATGTGTGGATTGGAGGTAGGAATGCACACGAGTCTCGAGACTCGTAAGTATAGAGGTCCCTCATTCTCCCTTCCCTTCCAGGGCAGGCTGAAACTTGGCCTCATCCCCACACCACCACCCTAGGCAAATAATAAACATAGGGCAGAAAGGGAGAGCCTGAGGTTGCAAGCTGGGGAAATGGATATCAAGATGACTTTTAACTCAGCTTTTACTTATTAAAAAAAAAAAAAAGTGCTCTATACTGCTTAGCATGCCTCATTTTATATGAAAAATCACCATCCAGAAAGAGGGCAACTCCCTACACAGGGAAAACAAATTCGGAATTTACCGAAGTTTGGCTTCTACACAGTGAAAACCGCGAAACTTGTTCCATTGCTAGCTTTGGGGAAGAGTAAATGGTGCAATGGTGCGCTGCCTTCGCTCTGCTCTCACCAGGTGAGCTCCGAGAACAGAGAGCGGTATTCGTTGTGAGCACCAGCATAGGTGCTGCCGCAGATTCTGACAGCTCTGCTAAGCAAGTTGACAGCCTGCAGAATGGAAACCACTGGCCGCTAAAACAAACCGTGCTGTGAATACGCACGCTAGCAAAGGCAACCAGGTCAGAAGTTTGTTCTGTTACTTTCATTCCCCCAGCACCCTGAGAGTCTGCGTCTGGTCCATAGCTACCCTGCTCTGCCCTGACCATCTCCGAGCAGAGTTACGCTAAACCACTTTGCTAAAACCGCCCCCATCCAAAACCACTTCCCAGATCTGGTCCACAGCAACCACCCCACCTCCCCCCATGGCTTCCAGCTGCCTAAGCAGTTTCACTGGAACACCCCCGACTAGCCACGTGTTTGCACGACCTTAAGAGTCTTTTCTTCTCTCTAGTATGCTCCCGAGCCCGCCCCAGACACTCGTAGGAGCTGCAGCTAGGTCGCCATCAACCCCACAAGGTCACCCACCTGGGCACCAGCTGCCAGCAGCAACTGCACACACTGGGCCTGGCCCTGCAAACTGGCAGCATGAAGGGGCGTGATGGAGTCCACGGTGACCTGATTAACACACGCTCCACTCTCAATCAGCTGCTGAAGTTGAAGGCTCTCGCCCCGCTGAGCTGCCTCGTGCACAGGGGTGCGCTCCACCCAGAAACCTGCAGAGGAAACAGAGCCCTTACGAAAACCCTCCGACTTCCATCAGGACAAATGAACACATGTGAGACTCCAGCACCCAGTGGCAGGCAATACACCATATGTGGCTATGCAATTGATCCCGATGGTCCGATTAAAATCCATAAGCAGGGCTGGAGAGATGGCTCAGCGGATGGCTGCACCTGGCGGTGATGGCCCATGCCTTTAATCCCAGCACCCAGGAGACAGAGAGGCGGGTCTACCTTTGTGAGTTCAAGGCCAGCCTGATCTACAGAGCAAGTTCCAAGACAGCCAGGGCTACACAGAGAACTCCTGTCTTAAAAAAAAAAAAAAAGAAAAAAAGAAAAGAAAGAAAGAAAAGAAAAAAAAACCCGCACATACTGCTCTTCCAGGGGACCCAGGTTCAACTCCCAGCATCCATATGGCAGCTCATAGCTGTCTGTAACTCTAGTTCCAGGGGATTCAACACCCTCACACAGATACACACACTCAGTCAAAACACCAATGCATATGAAATAAAATAATAAATTATAAAAGAGCATATAAGGATGTCTGTGCTATGTATCTGGTTCACACTATGATCCCCTCTCCCACCCCTGGCCCTTACAGACACAGCTATGGCTCACTGCTATTGCACACATTTACCTCTGAAAACTGTGCCTTACCAAGAAGGAAGTAGCCCAAAAGTAGCAATATACAGTTTGAGGGGAGAGTGTTCTATAGTGTAGCTTGTTGTGGGAGTAACTTCCGCTGCCTCAACCAAGAGACGCTGAAATACGAGCCCACAGTGCAGCGGGGAGAGACTTCCGCTCGAGCCGGAACCAAGAGGGCCTATTCCGGATATGCTTCTCTTTTTAAAAGAGAAATATACCACGCCCCAGTGGGCTGGTATTTCAGCAGCTATTGGCTGACGGAGCGGAAGTCGCTCCCCGCTGCACTGTGGGCTCGTATTTCAGCGACTATTGGTTGAGGCAGCGGAAGTTACTCCCACAACACCTCCCCCTTTTGTTTAAGTAAGGGAGTTCTAAGCCTACTACGAAATTATATACAGTAAGTACAAACCTACACAATTATATACAATAAATACAAATATCCTATTCTAACTAGCTTAAGTCTTGTATAAGAAATAACTTGGCCACGTCATGAAAAGAAAGTAACTACGTTTATATAATCTT